CCCGGGTGCCTCCTGGCAGCCCCACAGGGATGGGAGCGGGCACAACTCCCAGTCCCAGCTCTGCAGACTCAGCATCGCCTCTTGCCCAAGATGTTGCATAAAATGCAGCAAGATTTTCTCACAGGATGGTTTGGCCCTTGGCAGAGGGATTGGAGACTGGGTCCTTGATGGATCTAAGTGTGAACGGGGTCTTGGGCAGCGGGGCAAGGAATTAAAATGAATTTTTCCCTCATCTCCCGACTCTGTGGCCAGGATTTGGAGACGAGGAGGAGCTCAGGGAGAGGAGGGTGCAGACACACAATGCTTGTGCTTCACCCAGACCCCTTCCCAATGAAACTGAGATTTCAGATACCAAAGGCAAATCCCAGAGTGCTGCCAGGGCCCCAGCTCTCCCCAGGGCCCAGGAATTTCCCTGGGTGTTCCTGGCTGGAACCCAGCAGCTGCATTTCAGTGCTGGGGCTCTGGAAGCCAATCTAACCATACCTGAGCTGAAATCCCATCCTCTCCCTGTGCCTCGTGGCCTTGTCCTGCTCCTGCTGTGAAAGGGTGGGAGACGGGATCATAAAAATATTAATTTTATAGTGGCTTTTTCCTGGCTTTGAGAGATTCAGTGGCTTAAAAGGGTATGGTCAGGTCAGGCTGAGTTATGCAAGAGCCATCAAAGCTTTTGTGGCTTTTTGGCTTTTTTATTGGAATGCCCTGGATATCTGCAGCCTCAGCCTTGGGATGGAAACTGCTCAGCTCAGGATCCTCTGCTGTGCTGCAGCCAGGAAAAGCTCAGGTCTCAGAGAGCCTCAGCCCCAAAACTGCAGCGATTTTACACCGAGGAGCTTCTTAGAGATGAACCAGGGGCTGAGCTGGGACCCAGAGCCTGGAGGGGACAGCTCTGCTCCTGCTCTGCTGGAGCCCCTGTTTGGAACGCAGGGTGAGAGGAGCCTGTCCCTGCACCCCACACACCCCGGGCAGGGAGGGGACACGGCGGCGCTCCTGGGACGGGGAGGTGACACTTGGGCTGCCAGGGAGGTGACACCGGCTGCTGTCACTGCCTTGAGCAATCGGCGGGGCCAAGGGCCAGGATGAGTCACCCCAAGCCTGGCACGTTCCCGGGAGGGGGCTCAGCTTTCTGCTGGGCTGCTCCTGGTGCTGAGCCCACCCTGACCTGGGAGCCCACCCTGCCCTGAACTCGTCCTGCTGCTGATCCCACCCTGACAGAGCTGCCCCTGGTGCTGAGCCCACCCTGACCGTGGCACTGACCCTGAGGGTGTCATCTTGGGGATGGAGGGATTTGAGCACCCATCACAGCCACAGAACTGGGCTTTCCTGGGTACCCCCTGCATTCCAGCCCTGATTTCCAGCTCCACCATGGAGCTCCTGCTCAGAAGCTGTTTCCCCATCAAGAGGTGCTTTCTAATGGGGATAAAACCTCCTCCAAAAACGCCACGGTCCCCAGAGCAGGCAGTGGTGCCAGCCTGACAGGAGGCTGCCCAGGCCAGGGATGATGGGCACCCCGTGTGTGGGTGCCCAGACTGGTGGTGCCCAGCCCCAGCCCTGGGCACAGAGCCCTGGGGGAGGCTGGTGACAAGGACGGGCAG